TCTACAAATTATTCTGCTGTTGCCGAAGAAGAGAACAATTTTGACGATGCTGTTTCACGTACACAAAAATTCAAGCCATTGAAGAAGTAGAGTTTGATACCTTTCATGCATATGTCTAACTCGTTTCATTCAAAAAAAATGTCCCAGGTTATCATTTCTTCTTTTATGAAATGCATCCCAGTAAAATACGTCATTGCAAAAGGGAGAACGACCTAAATCTGATTTCTCAATTCGTTCTAATCTTTTCTTTATATATACTTTAACGTACTCTTCTAATGACTTTTCATTTATTATTTGAAGAAGATCTGTTGCTCTGGCAAAGGGACACCGATGAACTATTCTTAATCCGTTTCTAAATTTTCTTAAAATTAATTCTTTTTGGGTTCTTGGTAGAAATGGATATAGGGGAAATATCCATGCAAAATATGGAAAACTGTAAGCAAAGAAACATCTTCGCAAGACTTCTTTTGAGAGAGTTTTACCACCTCTCATCCATCTTAATTTACTATGCGTTCGTTGAACGTTTTCAAGGGTTTTATCAATCGTTGGTTTTAAGGACATCTTATTTGACCGAGTAAAACCCAGATATTTGAATTCTTTAACTACTTCTAGTCTTTTACCCTTCATATAGATATCAACTACTGGATCTTGTACTTGTGGGTGAAAAATCTGCACGACTGTTTTGGACAAATTAATCGGTTGTTTCCATCCCTTGGAATAATCCGCTATTTTATTACATATTTTTGTTCCTTCTTCTTCTTCTAAAAACTTAATCATCGGCTTCATTTCTCCACATATTGGTGGAGATATGAGTACATTGAGATCATCAACAAATATGTGGCTAGAATGAGCACCTAGACAAGCAATAAGATCACAATGGTAGACATTGAATAGATATATGGACTCAAACTACTGCTTTGAGGCAAACCAAAATGAGTGTAAAATATTTTCGATTTATTCTCTCCAAAATTAACATAGGCGCGACGATCATTTAACCATGAAATAATTAATTTCAACAGTCCTAAAGGTATACTGAGTCTATTGAGCTTAACAGCAAGACCGTTACGCCACACTTTATCCAATGCCTTCTGATAGTCCACANATATTTTTGTTCCTTCTTCTTCTAAAAACTTAATCATCGGCTTCATTTCTCGATATATTGGTGGAGATATGAGTACATTGAGATCATCAGCAAATATGTGGCTAGAATGAGCACCTAGACAAGCGATAAGATCACAATGGTAGACAGTAAATAGATATGGACTCAAACTACTGCCTTGAGGCAAACCAAGATGCATGTAAATTATTTTCGATTTATTCTCTCCAAAATTAACATAGGCGCGACGATCATTTAACCATGAAATAATTAATTTCAACAGTCCTAAAGGTATACCGAGTCTATTGAGCTTAACATCAAGACCCTTATGCCACACTTTATCCTATGCCTTCTGATAGTCCACAAATACTGCTAATGTTGGAATATTAGCCGTCAAATTATTTTTTTACTTCTTGATATATTGATAGAACTCTAGTAGAAAGTAGACAACACGAGCGAAAGTCCGACTGTTCAACTGGGACTAATTTATTAGTTTCTGCCCAGTGTCTTACTTTATCTAGCATAATTTTTTCAAATAACTTTGAATGTGTTGCTAATAGTGAAATTGGCCGTCTCTGATCACAACGAAGCGCTCCTGCTTTTAATTTATTCCGTGTAACAATTTTGGCTAATTTCCAAACATCAGGATATCTGTATTCTCTTAACCAAGTATTAAAACAATTTGCTAAACAACTAATATAACTTGGTGAAATTCGTTTGATCATAAAATTGGACACTGCATCGAAACTAGATGACTTTTTCGGTTTTGACTTTGATATATGTTTCTTTATCTCTAGGAAATTCGTCGCTTCAATTTTTTCATTTAACACCGCTAGATCGGTATACAGTTTCGAGAAGGGTAATGATCTATGTTTGTATACTCGAGAGAAATACAACCAAAATGTCGTATCCATATTGTCATACATTTCCTGAATTTTTGACAAAAACTCCTGCCATTTACTCGACTTATATTTTGCAATTTCAATTTTGACTTCGCGTGTTAACATGCGTAACAACACTCTTGTCTCTTCGTTTGTATGGAATATTTTTGTCTCCCGATCATATTTATTTCTTACTGTTTTTACTTCTTTCAGCTTCTGAATAAGATAAGGGGGTAGTGCTGGTCGGAATTTTTCCTTTTCTATCCATTGTGTACGTCTGTTTTTTAAAGTAGTAAGAAAGCGCACATAATTCACATACCACTGATCAGCTTTCATCCCTCTATTTTGCTCCTTTATCCAAAATTCCTGTAACAACGTAAGAATGGCTTCATATGCCTTCCAGTGCACACGGGGAAAACATTTTATTCTTATCAAATCCCACCTTCTCACAGGTTATCATTACATACCAGTGATCACTAGTACTCATTTTTAAAGTTTCTTCTATGTTTGTAAACGTTAAGTCAATGTTTCTGTTCGAACGTTTTGACGAGTGCAATATCGATGGAATGCAACAAAGATTATTTTTCTCCACCCATTCTTTTATGGATGCGTTAAAATCGCCAGTAATTATTGTATTTTCAATGATGTATGGCTTTAACTCTTCTAACAACCTGATCTGACCTGCCGGTCAGTAAATAGCGATTATTGTAATTTTCTCAGAAAACTCGTTAACATCAACAATAACTGTGTTTTCAGCATTAAAATCTATTCTTGAGCCTTTTAAATGTTTTCCTATTGCTACATATACACCTCCACTTTTATTTGTTCCATGTTGGTGGAAAATATTGAAATGCGGTATTCGAGATGTATTCCATAACTCGCCAACTTTGGTAAAAACTGATCGGATTCACTGTTCGGAGTATTGTTAGACGCTTTTGGCGTTTGTTGAGATGGAGCGAGTCGTGATGATGGAGATGTACTGCATTTTTGTCGAGCTGTATAATCCGATTTTACATGAGATAGTAATACTTCCAAATCATTGAAGATTTTTTGTAATTGCGGTTGTTTTTCTCTTAATCCGGCAACTTTGTGATTCATCACCGGCCAAATAAAATCACCAACTATCGATATGAGTGTAAACATTCATTTTATCAGTGTTTCATGATATAGTTCCGTATCGAGAGCTGTTTGATCAATCTTATCATTGATACGATCTAATTTTTCATCCATACGATGAGTATTATCCTTCATATCTAGAATGTTTTGATTTATCGAGAACAACATTTTTGTTGTATCTTCACTTCCATTCATGTTAGTTGTTACTGATGGTTGTGCTGAANAAACTAGATGACTTTTTCGGTTTTAACTTTGATATATGTTTCTTTATCTCTAGAAAATTCGTCGCTTCAATTTTTTCATTTAATACCGCTAGCTTATTCATCAATTCTAGATATTCTGTTTCAATTTGGAGTTCATGCGGATCTGATATATCTGTATTTTGTTCTTTGAACTGTTCAGAATAGTAACGGTAAAGCTCATCACTGATTTCATTCTCTTTTGTCAATACTGTTTTATGGGTATCCAGTTTCGAGAAGGGTAATGATCTATGTTTATATACTCGAGAGAGATATAACCAAAATGCTCTATCCATATTGTCATACATTTCCTGAATTTTTGACAAAAACTCCTGCCATTTACTTGACTTATATTTTGAAATTTCAATTTTGACTTCGCGTGTTAACATGCGTAACAGCACTCTTGTCTCTTCGTTTGTATGGAATATTTTTGTCTCCCGATCATATTTATTTCTTACTGTTTTTACTTCTTTCAGCTTCTGAATAAGATAAGAGGGTAGTGCTGGTCGGAATTTTTCTTTTTCTATCCATTGTGTAAGTCTGTTTTTTTAGAGCAGCAAGAAAGTGCACATAATTCACATACCACTGATCAGCTTTCATCCCTCTATTTTGTTCCTTTATCCAAAATTCCTGTAACAACGTAAGAATGGCTTCATATGCCTTCCAGTGCACATGGGGGAAATATTTTATTCTTATCAAATCCCACATTCTCACAGGTTATCATTACAGGCCAGTGATCACTAGTACTCATTTTTAAAGTTTCTCCTGTGTTTGTAAACGTTAAGTCAATGTTTCTGTTCGAACGTTTTGACGAGTGCAATATCGATGGAATGTAACAAAGAGTATTTTTCTCCACTCATTCTTTTATGGATGCATTAAAATCACCAGTAATTATTGTATTTTCAATGATGTATGGCTCTAACTCTTCTAACAACCTGATCTGACCTGCCGGTCAGTAAATAGCGATTATTCCAATTTTCTCAGAAAACTCGTTAACATCAACAATAACTGTATTTTCAGCATTAAAATCTATTCTTGAGCCTTTTAAATGTTTTCCTATTGCTACACAAACACCTCCAATTTTATTTGTTCCAGGCTGGTGGAAAATATTGAAATGAGGTATTCGAGATGTATTCCATAACTCGCAAACTTTGGTAAAAACGGATCGGATTCATTGTTCGGAGTATTGTTAGACGCTTTTGACGATTGTTAAGATGGAGCGAGTCGTAGTGGTGGAGATGTACTGCGTTTTCGTCGAGCTATATAATCCGATTTTACATGAGATAGTAGTACTTCCAAATCATTGAAGATTTTTTGTAATTGCGGTTGTTTTTCTCTTAATCCGGCAACATTGTGATTCATCACCGACCAAATAAAATCAACAACTATCGATATGAGTGTAAACATTCATTTTATCAGTGTTTCATGATATAGTTCCGTATCGAGAGCTGTTTGGTCAATCTTATCATTGATACGATCTAATTTTTCATCCATACGATGAGTAGTATCCTTCATATCTAGAATGTTTTGATTTATCGAGAACAACATTTTTGTTGTATCTTCACTACCATTCATATTAGTTGTTACTGATGGTTGTTCTGAAACTAATTTCCATGGAATAATATGAGACGTAAGCGATGGTAGTGGAGAAAATTCATTTTGCTACATCTAAAATTGCATCGGCTGAGCACGATCTTGAGGTACTAATCGATGTAATTTGCCTGTTGATATTGCGTTATTAATTTGTTCTTTTAATTTGAATCGATATTCTGCGACTTTTTCACATTCATTAGATAACGAATGATGGTGACCATCACATTGAGCACAACGAACCACATTCGAACAATCATGTGTTTGACCATCCATAAGATTATTAAGACAGATACGACAACGAGGGTGTACCAGATCACATTTATCTCTCATATGACCTAAACGCCAACATCGAGTACAGTATGTCATTCGATTTCCGGCGAGGAAGGGAGTAATAGCGCAGAATGTATTTCGAATCGATATTCGACCTAATTTTAATGTTGAATTATATTCACGTAAATCTGTAACAATAAATCGAAAATCATTTGTTCTTCGTTGAAAATGATACTGAATACGTCTAACATTTTCGGCTGATTGAAGATTTCGTTCGATTTCCTCTTTCACATATTCGTCATTGTACTGGAGGGGTACATAACGAACAACAAGAGCAAAGGAATCGGGAATAAATTTCGGTTTAATTACGGTAATATTAATATNAAAAAAACTTCCAGTCGGATTATTGCAGCTGAATCTTCTTCTTTTACTTCACATTTATTCATCAAATATTGTCTAAGTGGAATTACTCGATGAAGACTCGGTTGTTGATCTTCACTAACAGCATCAAGTATCTCCTGAAAAGCTTCAAGATAGTTGCAAATATCATCGAGTAGTTCTTTTTCAATCAAATTATAATCATTCAAAGTTTTTCTATTAATTAATACTTCTGGCAATTCAAAAAAAAAACTTCTCGAAAAATATCGAGCATAATTATAGCACCACCAAAACGAGTTTCAGAATACGTTTGAGATTTTTGAGAAAATTTTTGTTGTTGATGTGAATGTCTTACAGAAGAAACCACTTTTTTAACTTGATTAAAAATATGTTGAACTAATTCACAATCAACTTTTTCAATTGTATTTCTATTTCAATGAATTTGATCTGATTGAAAAACATGTTGTAACTGTTTATTCAAATAGTGATCAGCACAACCAACGCGAGAACATTGTTTCCGAAATGCTGGCAACATTTTTCGCTCATTATCTGTAACAACAAATTTTGTTGAATCCAGTTGTAGTTTATATTCTTCTAACATTTTATTAACAAATTCTCGAAGATGTTGCGCTGAATGACTAGCTGCATTGTATGGAAAACAACCAATGAGGAACGTAAATAATTGAGAATATTCTCCAACGTATCGTAAAGCTATGCCACAGTAACTAATACCTAAATGCGTGTACAAAAAGACACTCAGATTATAGCTGTCTTCATGCATAAACAAAATACTTTAATGTTCTAACCGGTACGAGCTTCAGTCCATTGATCGGCTATCAAACAAAAACTTGTTAATTGTTCACAAAAATCAATTAAGTGAATCTGATATTCTTCATAAAGTCGAGTAATATTCCTGCTGATCTGCAAACATATAAGATATAACAGTATAATCAATTTATTCAAATATTTTACTATTTATACGGTGGTCGGGTGTGGAAGAAGATTTGTTATTTCAATTGATGATGTACGGGTGCCTCGACAAACACCAAATAAAGTTTTTGCTAAATTTTTAAATCCAACACCTTTCACAACATCAAACACACGTGCACCAAGAGCGCAAAAACTCTGTACAAGCTTCTGTAGCAGAAAATTTAATTTTTCGTGGAATTGGCCATTGTTTCAAAGAAGAATAAAAGTCGTGAACAGTTTTTCTCATAAGCAAAACTTGATTTCTCTTTCTTTGGAACCGATTTAACATGTGTACGTAAATTATTAGTACCATTTAGCCATGAATATAGCAATAGTTCTTTGCATGCATTGCAACATACAAACTGTTGTCGATCATCATTTACAATAATATAATCAAAACAACTCCACACATCTCTTGAGATCAATGTTTTTTACTCTCAATGAATTTTATTGATGGATCACCATCTTTTATTAATTCTTCAAGTTCTTTTTCTGTTAAAACCTTTTTAGTCGTAATGTTGTTTGTTGTTTCAATATAATAATTCAATATAATGTTGTTTATTTTTTCAATATACAAATACGCTGTTCATTTCTTACAAAATCGCTTCCTTTTTCTCCATTCAACTTATCAAGAATTGATATGAATTACATGTTCCTAGACAACAAAACAATTCGGAAGTTTTCGGAGTACGAATCGAAATCCGAAAAAAATTCTCCTCCGAGTCGGCCACGCATACCGAACCAAAAAAAACATTTTTCAGCATCGGAGGTGCCACCAGAAAAGAAAATTGTTTTTTTCCCCACTTGCAGTTGAAATCAAAAGACGCTACTCCGCTGTTCCTTACTCATCACCCTTCATTGCACCCTTCTCTATATCTAATACTCCCATCCATGTTGTCCATGGAACTGGTTATATCGTCCACTAATACACAAAACAAGCAACATTTCATGCTTCAGTTTGTTCAACCGAAAACATTCACTCATATTTCCCTCTGCACTACCCTGAAAACTAAGCTAAGCTAACGTCATCTTTCAGTGACTCACCTTTCCCACAAAATCAAAATCTGATTATTCCGCAACACCCCGCTCCCAAATCTTTGATTACGTAATATTTTCACCGTTCCTAGAGACTGTTCAAGTATTACATAATGAAATTTTTGGCCATCTTGATCCTCGATCCCTTTAAATAATCAAATGTCTTAATTTGCAACCTCCTCTCGCTTGATTACATAATGTTTATAAAATATTTTCTTAATATATAATTCTTTGTAAGGTTAGAAATTTGTTTTTTAAATTTCGCTCTCTTTATTGTTACACTCGGAAGTGCTTACAAGAATTACCGTAAGCATTCACAGCTGTTTGATTAACACGACCATGAACAGTATAAGCATACAGATGGAAGCACAGTAGATTTATAAGATGCCACATTTAGTTGATAAAATGTAATAAGGAAAACAAACAGAGGAAGGATAGTAAGCGAGAAGATAGAAAAAAAGAAAGGAAGGAAAGGAAAGATGAGTACCGATGCGAGTACAACCGGTATTGATAAAGGCACAAAAGAGAAAAAAAACGCAGTACAAAGGAAGAAAGAGCTTGCCAACACAAAAGGGGAGTAAATTATAATAGTGTTACAATAGTAAACATTTAAATGAGCGAAAAAAGAAACAAAATAGCACGTGTATTCAGCTTCGACTAGGAGAGCTAGAGCTACTCTTTTTATATATTGATTTGTTTTTATTTTGTTGATTTAAACGACAGGTATCACATCAATATTATTGGTGGCACCAAAATCAACATTATTTTTTCTTACAGTTCTACAAATTATTCTGCTGTTGCCGAAGAAGAGAACAATTTCGATGATGCTGTTTCACGTACACAAAAATTCAAGCCATTGAAGAAGTAGAGTTTGATACCTTTCACGCATATGTCTAACTCGTTTCATTCGAAAAAAATGTCCCAGGTTATCATTTCTTCTTTTATGCAATGCATCCCAGTAAAATACGTCATTGTAAAAGGGAGAACGACCTAAATCTGATTTCTCAATTCGTTCTAATCTTTTCTTTATATATACTTTTACGTACTCTTCTAATGACTTTTCATTTGTTATTTGAAGAAGATCTGTTGCTCTGGCAAAGGGACACCGATGAACTATTCTTAATCCGTTTCTAAATTTTCTTAAAAGTAATTCTTTTTGGGTTCTTGGTAGAAATGGATATAGGGGAAATATCCATGCAAAATATGGAAAACTATAAGCAAAGAAACATCTTCGCAAGACTTCTTTTGAGAGAGTTTTACCACCTCTCATCCATCTTAATTTACTATACGTTCGTTGAACGTTTTCAAGGGTTTTATCAATCGTTGGTTTTAAGGATATCTTATTTGTCCGAGTAAAACCCAGATATTTGAATTCTTTAACTACTTCTAGTCTTTTACCCTCCATATAGATATCAACTACTGGGTCTTGTACTTGTGAGTGGAAAATCTGCACGACTGTTTTGAACAAATTAATCAACTGTTTTCATCTCTTGGAATAATCCGCTATTTTATTACATATTTTTGTTCCTTCTTCTTCTAAAAACTTAATCATCGGCTTCATTTCTCGATATATTGGTGGAGATATGAGTACATTGAGATCATCAGCAAATATGTGGCTAGAATGAGCACCTAGACAAGCGATAAGATCACAATGGTAGACAGTAAATAGATATGGACTCAAACTACTGCCTTGAGGCAAACCAAGATGCATGTAAATTATTTTCGATTTATTCTCTTCAAAATTAACATAGGCGCGACGATCATTTAACCATGAAATAATTAATTTCAACAGTGCTAAAGGTATACCGAGTCTATTGAGCTTAACAGCAAGACCCTTATGCCACACTTTATCGTGTGCCTTCTGATAGTCAACAAATACTGCTAATGTTGGAATATTGGCCGTCAAATTATTTTTTACCTCTTGATATATTGATAGAACTCTAGTAGGAAGTAGACAACACGAGCGAAAGTCCGATTGTTCAACTGGGACTAATTTATTAGTTTCTGCCCAATGTCTTACTTTATCTAGCATAATTTTTTCAAATAACTTTGAATGTGTTGCTAATAGTGAAATTAGCCGTGTCTGATCACAACGAAGTACTCCTGCTTTTAATTTATTCAGTGTAACAATTTTGGCTGATTTCCAAACATCAGGATATCTGTATTCGTTTTACCAAGTATTAAAATAATTTGCTAAACAACTAATATAACTCGGTGGAATTCGTTTGATCATAAAATTGGACACTGCACCGAAACTAGATGACTTTTTCGGTTTTAACTTTGATATATGTTTCTTTATCTCTAGAAAATTCGTCGCTTCAATTTTTTCATTTAACATCACTAGTTTATTCATCAATTCTAGATATTCTGTTTCAATTTGGAGTTCATGCGGATCTGATATATCTGTATTTTGTGCTTTGAACTGTTCAGAATAGTAACGGTAAAGCTCATCACTGATTTCGTTCTCTTTTGTCAATACTGTTTTATCGGTATACAGTTTCGAGAAGAGTAATGATCTATGTTTGTATACTCGAGAGAGATATAACCTAAATGCCCTATCCATATTGTCATACATTTCCTGAATTTTTGACAAAAACTCCTGCCGTTTACTCGACTTATATTTTGCAATTTCAATTTTGACTTCGCGTGTTAACATACGTAACAGCACTCTTGTCTCTTCGTTTGTATGGAATATTTTTGTCTCCCGATCATATTTATTTCTTACTGTTTTTACTTCTTTCAGCTTCTGAATAAGATAAGGGGGTAGTGCTGGTCGGAATTTTTCTTTTTCTATCCATTGTGTAAGTCCGTTTTTTAGAGCAGCAAGAAAGTGCACATAATTCACATACCACTGATCAGCTTTCATCCCTCTATTTTGCTCCTTTATCCAAAATTCATGTAACAACGTAAGAATGGCTTAATATGCCTTCCAGTGCACATGGGGGAAACATTTTATTCTTATCAAATCCCACATTCTCACAGGTTATCATACAGGCCAGTGATCACTAGTACTCATTTTTAAAGTTTCTCCTCTTGTTTCTCCCATGTTTGTAAACGTTAAATCAATATTTCTGTTCGAACGTTTTGACAAGTGCAATATCGATGGAATATAACAAAGATTATTTTTCTTCACCCATTCTTTTATGAATGCGTTAAAACCACCAGTAATTATTGTATTTTCAATGATGTATGGCTCTAACTCTTCTAACAACCTGATCTGACCTGCCGGCCAGTAAATAGCGATTATTCCAATTTTCTCAGAAAACTCGTTAACATCAACAATAACTGTATTTTCAACATTAAAATCTATTCTTGAGCCTTTTAAATGTTTTCCTATTGCTACACAAACACCTCCGCTTTTATTTGTTCCATGTTGGTGGAAAATATTGAAATGAGGTATTCGAGATGTATTCCATAACTCGCCAACTTTGGTAAAAACTGATCGGATTCATTATTCTGAGTATTGTTAGACGCTTTTGACGATTGTTGAGATGGAGCGAGTCGTGGTGGTGGAGATGTACTGCGTTTTCGTCGAGCTGTATAATCCGATTTTAGATGAGATAGTAGTACTTCCAAATTATTGAAGATTTTTTGTAGTTGCGGTTGTTTTTCTCTTAATCCGGCAACATTGTGATTCATCACCGGCCAAATAAAATCACCAACTATCGATACGAGTGTAGGCATTAATTTTATCCGTGTTTCATGATGTAGTTCCGTATCGATAGCTGTTTGATCAATCTTGTCATTGATACGATCTAATTTTTCATCCATACGATGAGTATTATCCTTCATATCTAGAATGTTTTGATTTATCGAGAACAACATTTTTGTTGTATTTTCACTTCCATTCATATTAGTTGTTACTGATGGTTGTGCTGAAACTAATTTCCATGGAATAATACGAGACGTAAGCGATGGTAGTGGAGGAAATTCATTTTGCTACATATAAAATTGCATCGGCTAAGCACGATCTTGAGGTACTTATCGATGTAATTTGCCTGTTGATATTGCGTTATTAACTTGTTCTTTTAATTTGAATCGATATTCTGCGACCACACTGTAAAAAAAATCCGTAGAATAATAAACCCAAAAAGGGTTGATGAAAGCGCAACGTATAATACACCCTTTTTACCGTATGTAAAATTTTCCTAAACCGTTTTTAAGGGTTTAATAAAGGGTTTATTATATGTTGCACTTTCAATAATCCTTTTAAGGATTTAGGAAATCAATGAACCCTTGCATAAACCCTCAAAAAGGGTTTATGACGGTCACTAAGTACGGATGGAATTCAGCAAAGGGCTTATGAATTGCTCATAAACCCATATAAGGGTTTAGGAAACTCACATAAACCAATGCAAGGGTCTAGAACAAGTTCATAAACCCTTGCAAAGGGTTTCGAGGCAGTGAACCAAAATGGCTCACAATCGAGTCAGGTTATGAGGCGTCCTGCTTCAGCGAATCCACTTTGAATACGCTCTTCGTTTTGTAGGACATGTACAGTTTCTAAATCTTGATACAGATATAACTCCAAGTCATTTGCTCGTCTGCAAGCGGAAACGGATACACACTGAAGCAGTACGCCCCAAAATCTGTTGTCCCCGATTCTTTTCCATTTGATGCTGCGACGGACCTAAACATAAAAAGAAAAAAATATAAATCGATAAAGCTTACTGTTTATTTTCCGCAACTATGTCACAGAGTTGGACCAAAATTCACATAACAATAGATACCCAATTTTGAATTCATCGATTCTCTTGATGGTAGCGTTCACTAAAAATGATTTCAAAGAAAAAATCCATTTCTCGTTCAAAGTTAATTTCCGATACCGTGAAACAATTTAATAATAATGAAGCTAAAACAAATCCTTCAAAAATTTTCCTCAAACTCACCAATACCTTTTCCGAACACACAGCGTAACACAAGAAAAACAATTTTGAAAAAAAATTTCCAAATGTCATAATACTACATTTCATTTCACCTAAATAAAAAAGCTAACGTTCAAAAGCAACTTTTTCTTACCTAATAATATTAAATTTGATTTGATCTGAACGAAAGAAAAATCATCATTTTAAAAATGCATTTCTTCTTCGCTAAATAATTGTGGATTGTCTCTCATCCAAACGAAAGAACTTCTTAAATCGATTTTTTCTTACTTATTGCCATTGAAGCTAATTGCATCTAAAGAAAAAAACATAAAAATCTGCAAAGCTACTTTTTACTTACCTAAGAAACTTTGGATCGTATTTTAGCGAAGGTAATGAGAGAATCTTGAAAATTAGTTTTTTGTTATCAGTATAGTAGTGAATTTTATCTTGTCTAAAGAAAAAAATCATAATAATGTTGAAAGTATCTTACTACTATTTCTACTCAGGAATTATTGAGAAAAAGTAATGAATATGAAAACAATGTAAAGAAGGAACATTTAGTTGCCTCTGGTTGCGGAGGAGAATGAACGAGAGAAAGTACTATTGCATTTGCAGAAATAATGTTAGTTTTGTTTGTAATGGCATGTAATTTTCTGTCAACTTCACCGTTTCGATAATAAGAGAACAATATATTTATGAGGTGTTTGGTAGTGATTGATTTATAAGTGACTACGACACTCGGTTTGATTAAGAGACGCGAATTTAGGGCAGCATCTATCTATGCTGATTGGTGAACAGCAAACCTCTATGATTGAGTTGATTTGATTCATAGAGAAAGTGCATGAAAAGCTTCTATTCGATTACAACTAAATAGAATGAAGACATGTTTTTCTTTTTACAGCTGGAATTATTTTAATTTATTTCGATGACAGTCTATAAGTTCTTGAAATTCAGATAATACAACGAAATGGATTGTATATTATAAAAAATGTTAAAAACAGAAAAATTCTAAAGAAAAGTATGGATATCTCTGTTGAGTTAAAGTAAAATTTTATAAAATGGTATCGTCGTTGATATAATAATTCAAGAGCTTGTTCGTAATTGATTAATGTCTGTGTATAGTAACTAATTCGAAATCGGTTTTTTTCATATCTTAGAAAGACATCATATATGTACAATATTTCATTCATTATGTTCATCTTAATAACGTTACAAGTTTTCTTATAAAAAAGTAGTATTAAAAATGCTAAATAATACAAAAGCTATATTAACTGTTATTCACTATATGTATATATTAGTAACGACATTTTCGTTTAGTCTTCTGACGAGTACCAACATTTATATTTGCATCAACTAAGGAATTAATACCATCTTGTGAATCATCATCACTATCACATGTTAATGCTTTTTTCTTTACGACTTTTTTTGAAAAATGTTCAGATTGTTTTTGACAATCAACATTTGATGAAGACTTTCGAATAATATCGTCGGGACTATGCACAGAAGAATTATAAAGTTTTTAAATTCATGTTCAAACAGAATACTTACTTTGTAGATGTAAAAGTAGTATTGATGTCTAAATTATTATTGTTTAACAGATAAACATCTTCAAGTGGAGTAGATGATAAATTAGAGCTAGCTTGTGATGAAGATTGAGTATCATTACTAACAGCTGAGTGACTGTTTGAAACCAAATTTGTACTTTACCAGATTTTTCGATTTTGTTCGGTATAGATTTCAATATTCTTTTCCTTGATTAGACTACGCATTTTATTCGACAAATATCTTGTATCACCAAACATAATTACATATAAAAATCGTATTGCTCGACTATTTTTAGGAAAATTTAGTTCGAACACGACATACATTGCTAGTACAGGTGCTAAACCATCATCAGGTGATGTTATTGAAACGATTGAAAGAAATCTGTAAACATTATTGATGGATATGGACTTGATGGTGACTAGAAAAAAAATGTTCACGGTTAGCAAACCAAGAATGCTTGTGTGCTATATAGCCACAATATATTGGTCGTTCTGGTCAGCTCATGTGAAAATATGCTGAGACTGTTATATCATTCTACATAACTATTAAAAGCTTGTTTTCCTGTGAGATTCAAACAATGAAAACATTAGTAATATTGGTACATCACACAAATGCAAGCTATTTTTTGAAACTATATGTCTAAACTATTTCTTTCTGAAAAAGATCCTCAACTATTTATAAAAAAAATTTGTTTCATTAGTCCAATACGACCATTTCATCTGTCTGTTTGTAAAACATAAAAAAGATGCATCGGCTAAAGTTACAACAAAGTATTCACTGTACGGCACTATAAATGGTGAACTGCTTCATCGAATTGACGACAAAGCACACGAATAAGTTGTATTGGTGGAGAATCTAGATCGACATATGTTATTTGAAATATTGTAATTCGTGTTATAACCTGTAATAAAAGCAGGTGTTGCAATAATCTTTTCAAGTAAAATTGGTATTTGACGACATACGACAGCATGTAAATCAGCTCCCATTTTTTTCAAAAACACTTGGTGAATGTTAAAACTATTTTGTTTTACTTCAAAATCATTTTATATCGTGTAAATCTTATTCTAAAGAAGAACATTGAATATGTAGTACATGAAAACTAAAATAAATCTATATTTATTTCAATTAAAACAAAATACTTTTTACGTTCATCAAGTGTTTTTGAGAAAAAATCTTCACAAAACAAATTTAAATCTGCTTTACTTTAATTTAATACAAGTCAAATATATATAATAAATAATTTTAATTTAATTTTAATTTTAATATTAAAAAATAGGTTTGATAAAAAGTATTTATTTTATAATAATTTAAGCTGAAATTCATTTGTATTTATTCGCTTTAAAATTTTTGTACAAGAAAAAATTTAATTAAAAATATTATTTTTCATCTTTATTTGATTTACTTATTAACAACTTACATTAAATTGAACTTTAATTTAATATCACGATAAAATCTTTTTATTTTAAATATGAATTTAATTTTTTAAAATGTGCAACGACCAAAATTATTTTAATGCATACAATAATGATTTTTTTGAAATTTTTTTTGTTATTACTTAAATTCATTCCTTGTTATAAGTCGCCGCAAAATATAAAAATTTAAAAAGATCTGCAAATACGAACTGAATTTTTTTTATGTAAAACAATTTTTTCTACTTTTTCTCAATAAATTCAATATCAGAATATCAGTAGCACAAAATCCTATAAAAAACGATTCATATATTTTTTTTATCCAATCGAAATTGCTGATATCAAGAATTTAGTTGACGTTTGGAAACAAAGCAATAGAGTAATTAGCAAAGNTTATCTAGCATAATTTTTTCAAATAACTTTGAATGTGTTGCTAATAGTGAAATTGGCCGTGTCTGATCACAATGAAGTAGTCCTGCTTTTAATTTATTCAGTGTAACAATTTTGGCTAATTTCCAAACATCAGGATATCTGTATTCTCTTAACCAAGTATTAAAACAATTTGCTAAACAACTAATATAACTTGGTGAAATTCGTTTGATCATAAAATTGGATACTGCATCGAAACTAGATGACTTTTTCGGTTTTAACTTTGATATATGTTTCTTTATCTCTAGAAAATTCGTCGCTTCAATTTTTTCATTTAACACCGCTAGCTTATTCATCAATTCTAGATATTCTGTTTCAATTTGGAGTTCATGCGGATCTGATATATCTGTATTTTGTTCTTTGAACTGTTCAGAATAGTAACGGTAAAGCTCATCACTGATTTCGTTCTCTTTTATCAATACTGTTTTATCGGTATACAATTTCGAGAAGGGTAATGATCTATGTTTGTATACTCGAGAGAGATATAACCAAAATGCCCTATCCATATTGTCATACATTTCCTGAATTTTTGACAAAAACTCTTGCCATTTACTCGACTTATATTTTGCAATTTCAATTTCTACTTCACGTATTAACACACGTAACAGCACTCTTGTCTGTTCGTTTGTATGGAATATTTTTTTCTCCCGATCATATTTATTTCTTACTGTTTTTACTTCTTTCAGCTTCTGAATAAGATAAGGTGGTAGTGCTGATCGGAATTTTTCTATTTCTATCCATTGTGTACGTCTGTTTTTTAGAGTAGTAAGAAAGCGCACATAATTCACATAACACTGATCACCTTTCATCCCTCTATTTTGTTCCTTTATCCAAAATTCCTGTAACAACGTAAGAATGGCTTCATATGCCTTCCAGTGCACATGGGGAAAACATTTTATTCCTATAAAATCTCACACTCTCACTGGTTATCATTACAGACCAGTGATCACTAGTACTCATTTTTAAAGTTTCTCCTATATTTGTAAACGTTCAGTCAATGTTTCTGTTTGAACGTTTTGACGAGTGCAATATCGATGGAATGTAACAAAGAGTATTTTTCTCCATCCATTCTTTTATGGATGCGTTAAAACCACCAGTAATTATTATATTTTCAATGATGTATGGCTCTAACTCTTCTAACAACCTGATCTGACCTGCCGGTCAGTAAATAGCGATTATTCCAATTTTCTCAGAAAACTTGTTAACATCAACAATAACTGTATTTTCAGCATTAAAATCTATTCTTGAGCCTTTTAAATGTTTTCCTATTGCTACACAAACACCTCCACTTTTATTTGTTCCAGGCTGGTGGAAAATATTGAAATGAGGTATTCGAGATGTATTCCATAACTCGCCAACTTTAGTAAAAACTGATCGGATTCATTGTTCGGAGTATTGTTAGACGCTTTTGACGATTGTTGAGATGGAGCGAGTCGTGGTGGTGGAGATGTACTGCGTTTTCGTCGAGCCGTGTAATCCGATTTTAGATGAGATAGTAGTACTTCCAAATTATTGAATATTTGTTGTAATTGCGGTTGTTTTTCTCTTAATCCGGCAACATTGTGATTCATCACCGGCCAAATAAAATCACCAACTATCGATATGAGTGTAGGCATTCATTTTATCAGTGTTTCATGATGTAGTTCCGTATCGAAAGCTGTTTGATCAATCTTGTCATTGATACGATCTAATTTTTCATCCATACGATGAGTATTATCCTTCATATCTAGAATATTTTGATTTATCGAGAACAACATTTTTGTTGTATCTTCACTTCCATTCATATTAGTTGTTACTGATGGTTGTGCTGAAACTAATTTTCATGGAATAATACGAGACGTAAGCGATGGTAGTGAAGGAAATTCCTTTTGCTACATCTAAAATTACATCGGCTGAGCACGATCTTGAGGTACTAATCGATGTAATTTGCCTGTTGATATTGCGTTATTAACTTGTTCTTTTAATTTGAATCGATCTTCTGCGACCACACTGTAAAAAAATCCGTAGAATAATAAACCCAAAAAGGGTTTATTATACGTTGCACTTTCAACAACCCTTTTAAGGGTTTAGGAAATCAATGAACCCTTACATAAACCCTCAAAAAGGATTTATGATGGTCACTAAGTACGGATGGAATTCAGCAAAGGGTTTATGAAATGCTCATAAACCCATATAAGGGTTTAGGAAACTCACATAAACCAATGAAAGGGTCTAGAACAAGTTCATAAACCCTTGCAAGGGGTTTCAAGGCAGTGAACCAAAATGGCTCACAAGCGAGACAGGTTATGAGGCGTCCTGCTTCAGCGAATCCACTTTGAATACGCTCTTCGTTTTGTAGGACATGTACAGTTTCTAAGTCTTGATACAGACACAACTCCAAGTCATTTGCTCGTCTGCAAGCGGAAACTGATACACACTGAAGCAGTACGCTCCAAAATCTGTTGTCCCTGATCCTTTTCCATTTGATGCTGCGACGGACCTAAACATAAAAAGAAAAAAATTTAAATCGATAAAGCTTACTGTTTATTTTCCACAACTATGTCACAGAGTTGGACCAAAATTCACATAACAATAGATACCCAATTTTGAATTCATCGATTCTCTTGATGGTGGCGTTCACTAAAAATATTTTCAAAGAAAAAATCCATTCCTCGTTCAAAGTTAATTTCCGATACCGTGTAACAATTTAATAATAATGAAGCTAAAACAAATCCTTCAAAAATTTTCCTCAAACTCACCAATACCTTTTCCGAACACACAGCGTAACACAAGAAAAACAATTTTGAAAAAAAATTCCAAATGTCATAATACTGCATTTCATTTCACCTAAATAAAAAAGCTAACGTTCAAAAGCAACTTTTCCTTACCTAATAATATTAAATTTGATTTGATCTGAACGTAAGAAAAATCATCATTTTAAAAATGCATTTCTTCTTCGCTAAATAATTGCGGATTGTCTCTCATCCANAAACTAGATGACTTTTTCGGTTTTAACTTTGATATATGTTTCTTTATCTCTAGAAAATTCGTCGCTTCAATTTTTTCATTTAACACCGCTAGCTTATTCATCAATTCTAGATATTCTGTTTCAATTTGGAGTTCATGCGGATCTGATACATCTGTATTTTGTTCTTTGAACTGTTCAGAATAGTAACGGTAAAGCTCATCACTGATTTCGTTTTCTTTTGTCAATACTATTTTATCGGTATACAGTTTCGAGAAGGGTAATGATCTATGTTTGTATACTCGAGAGAGATATAACCAAAATGCCCTATCAATATTGTCATACATTTCCTGAACTTTTGACAAAAACTCCTGCCATTTACTCGACTTATATTTTGCAATTTCAATTTTGACTTCGTGTGTTAACATACGTAGCAACACTCTTGTCTCTTCGTTTTTATGGAATATTTTTGTCTCCCGATCATATTTATTTCTTACTGTTTTTACTTTTTTCAGCTTCTGAATAAGATACGGAGGTAGTGCTGGTCGGAATTTTTCTTTTTCTATCCATTGTGTACGTCTGGTTTTTAGAGTAGTAAGAAAGCGCACATAATTCACATACCACTCATCAGCTTTCATCCCTCTATTTTGTTCTTTTATCCAGAATTCCTGTAACAACGTAAGAATGGCTTCATATGCCTTTCAGTGCACATGGGGAAAACATTTTATTCTTATCAAATCCCACATTCTCACAGTTTATCATTACAGGCCAGTGATCACTAATACTCATTTTTAAAGTTTCTCCTATTGTTGTAAACGTTAAGTCAATGTTTCTGTTCGCACGTTTTGACGAGTGCAATATCGATGGAATGTAACAAAGATTATTTTTCTCCACCCATTCTTTTATGGATGCGTTAAAACCACCAGTAATTATTGTATTTTCAATGATGTATGGCTCTAACTCTTCTAACAACCTGATCTGACCTGCCGGCCAGTAAATAGCGATTATTACAATTTTCTCAGAAAACTCGTTAACATCAACAATAACTGTATTTTCAGCATTAAAATATATTCTTGAGCCTTTTAAATGTTTTTCTATTGCTACACAAACACCTCCACTTTTATTTGTTCCATGTTGATGGAAAATATTGAAATGAGGTATTCGAGATTTATTCCATAACTCGCCAACTTTGGTAAAAACTGATCGGATTCATTGTTCGGAGTATTGTTAGACGCTTTTGACGATTGTTGAGATGGAGTGAGTCGTGGTGGTGGAGATGTACCACGTTTTCGTCGAGCTGTATAATCCGATTTTAGATGAGATAGTAGTACTTCCAAATTATTGAAGATTTTTTGTAATTGCGGTTGTTTTTCTCTTAATCCGACAACATTGTGATTCATCACCGGCCAAATAAAATCCCCAACTATTGATACGAGTGTAGGCATTAATTTTATCAGTGTTTCATGATGTAGTTCCGTATCGAGAGCTGTTTAATCAATCTTGTCATTGATACGATCTAATTTTTTATCCATACGATGAGTATTATCCTTCATATTTAGAATGTTTTGATTTATCGAGAACAACATTTTTGTTGTATCTTTACTTCCATTCATATTAGTTGTTACTGATGGTTGTGCTGAAACTAGTTTCCATGGAGTAATACGAGACGTAAGCGATGGTAGTGCAGGAAATTTATTTTGCTTCATCTAAAATTGCATCGGTTGAGCACGATCTTGAGGTACTAATCGATGTAATTTGCCTGTTGATATTGCGTTATTAACTTGTTCTTTTAATTTGAATCGATATTCTGCGACCTTTTCACATTCATTAGATAACGAATGATGGTGGCCATCACATTGAGCACAACGAACCACATTCGAACAATCATGTGTTTGACCATCAATAAGATTATTAAGACAGATACGACAACGAGGGTGTACCAGATCACATTTATCTCTCATATGACCTAAACGCCAACATCGAGTACAGTATGTCATTCAATTTCTGGCGAGGAAGGGAGTAATAGTGCAGAATGTTTTTCCAATTGATATTCGACCTAATTTTAATGTTGAATTATATTCACGTAAATCTTTAACAATAAATCGAAAATCATTTGTTCTTCGTTGAAAATGATACTGAATATGTCTAACATTTTCGGCTGATTGAAGATTTCGTTCGATTTCCTCTTTCACATATTCATCATTGTACTGGAGGGGTACATAACGAACAACAAGAGCAAAGGAATCGGGAATAAATTTCGGTTTAATTACGGTAATATTAATATTATTGATTTGTGACGGCCATTTATCAGTAGATATTA